TATCAAATTAATTTTAATAACTTTAAATTTTATTTTAAAGAATCCAATTAAAAAATTCTTTAATTACACAGCTTATCTTATCATATTGGTTGAAAGCTTAGATTTTTAATAAAAATATTTTGAATTTGAGTCTTTGTGTATATATTTTGCTCCTAAATATTAAAAAAAATATATCCAATTTGAACTCCACGCAACGACTCTATTGTTTATTAATTAAATTGAGCTGCTCCGCTCGCTATTCCCAAAAATATTCTGCGTGGACTTTCGGCTTATAATACGTAGCCATTTGTGTAGCCGCGCGACGGAGTAACTGATGTACGGTCCATAGCCCGTGACACTACGCTGCGTGCAACGTGACTAGCGACCGCCACGACCTGGTTACATAAGAGGCCACACCGTCCCACACTACATTGAACGAATGAATGGAATGCTTGAAGGCTTTCACTTCGCTAGATTACAAGCAGAACTAATCGAAAATAAGGAGGACGAGAAAGTCAAGCGGCAAGAACAATTTGCGCCGAATCCGATTTTCTTCTTCCTCGCGTCGATTTTGCTGTAAAATTATGCAATTTTTGTAATGCATCTTGGCGAAGGAGAGGACTAGAAGGAAAGGAACCAACAACCCCCAACCGCTCACCCTTTTCTTTTTCTCCTCACATTTCCAACCTCCACCGAGAACGACCCGTCATCTCCCGCGGGCTGCGTCTTCCTTGCTTCAGATCCGCTCCATCTCCTTTTCGTTTAAATCCTCACATCTCATCCTCGACTTCCTCGTGTTAATGAAGATTCGCCGGAGGCGGTTACTCTGACCTGCGAAGCGGGGGAAAGGAGGAAAGGGGGAAAAGAGAAGGACGATTCTCTTCATATCGGAAGTATGTATGCTTCTCATTTCGATCTTTGAAGCATTGTATACGTTTTGTGGGGTTGCTTTCTATTCTGATTTGGCGCGTTGTTTGGTTTTTCTTAGCTGAAACCCGAGGATGATGGTGGATTCCGGTCCCTTAACTGCCGGTCAGGTGAAGCGCTCTTTCTCTTTTTTTTTTTATCTCGCCGTTTTAATTTGAACGTGTGCTTTCTGGATCTGAAGCTTATTTGCTTAATTGATTTTTGTTTTTCACTTGCTAATTGGAGGTCGCATTGCGTTAGGAAATAGCTTAATCCGTTCTTTGAACTTGCACTGAGAATGCTTATTGGTTAGGGTTTGTTAACCATTAGTTTGAAGAATGATGGTATACGAAAGCGTGAAATACCGTGAAGATGCTCTAGTTATAAACGGGGAATTGCTTAAGCATGCTAAGGAATGAGGCCGTGGCTGTCACTTGGCTGTGATACTTTCTTACTGCTCACCACTCGTCTCCTTAATCTGCATGGCCAAGCTTCACCAGACCTAGATAAATGCCATAGATATATGAAATGTTAGAGATCACATTTATGTAGCAGTTCAAGAGTATTGAACATGAGTAAGCAGGATAATGGGTTGCCCTATAAATTTTGGGATTGCCATGATTTTTTGGAAAATAAGTTACTGATATGGGTGATATGTATATAAATGTTATGTAGGAAAGATTTGCACACATATATAACATACATAGGAACATGCATTCATGAATAAATGTGATTACACATGTGTATATGCATAGGTGCATGTATACTATTTTATGTTTAGATATGTTTTTACATTTATATCAAAACTATATACTAGTAGCTACATGGGTACATGGCTGGGTATTTTGAAAATAATGCATAGAGATAAATGCACATACACACAAAGGGTGCATATATGCATACATTCATACTTCCATAGTGGAATTTACAATATTGTGTGGCTGAACATACATTCATGCTTACTATTGTGCCTGCCAATAGACACATTACTTATGCACATATTAGGTGTGTGTAGATGGAGTGGAATGCACACGGTCCATTCCTTTTTCAACACATGCTACATTCATACTTTGCAATTATACGCATGAATTCACATACAAACATGTTTATGCATGTGCTCATATAAATTGTTGTTTAGATGCACATATTGTCGTAATCACCATCATTATCATTAGCCTTATCCTAAGTGTTGCATGAGATATTAAAGCTAGTTTGTCCAAAGTCTTTTTTGCAATTCTATTGATGGTAGTTTTGGTCTACACCTTATTGGCATCTCTTCTATACTTCATTTACTAGCCCAATCACTCAAATCTATTTTTCAATATCTTACATTCAATGCATTTAACTCATAACATCCCTCTAGTATGATCATTTTTTCTCTCTATATTTTTTATTTTTTTCAAACATTTATCTTAAATTTTTATTTTTGTCATAGTCAGCATGGATATATTTACTCTTTTTTTTTTCTACTTAATAGTTAGAATGACCAAGACATCAATGTCTCAATGATATGGGACAAAGCAAGATGACTTGAAAGCTAAGAAGGGGATATTTGAGAAAATCCAAGTTGCTATCAAGAGAAACCCAACTTAAGCGCATTGCTATCAAGTGAAGTTGAGGCTAAGACAAAATTTGAAAAGAATTTTCGGAAAAACACTCAAGAATTTTGTAATTCACAATTTTGGCACCCATTTGATGTCGATTCCTTGTAAATACCACTATTGTGGTCACAATTTTCTGCATTAAATGCGCACTTGTTGTAACCATCAATCTCTATCTTTATAAAGGAACATCATAGGAGGACATGAGATTAGTCTCTTTGGTGCTAGTCTTTTGAGTTAGAATATCTGAGAGGTCGTGCTTAGTCTGTAACTGCCCAAACTCTTAATTGAAATGAGCTTTCTTGTTATTTTATATGTTCCTAGCCATGCTTCACTACAATCAATTCAATCAACGATATTATATTGTGTCTTATAAGTCTTTATTATTACTCTACCTATTGCTGAGATGTTTATGAGCATTGTTTATTTTGAGCTCATTAACAATTTATTGTTCTTCTCCTTTTTTTTTAGATTGGTACCATAATGGAAAACATGCATACAATCAAGTTCATTTTGTGCCTGACAATTCCAAGATTTTGTGTAGCATTTTCTGAGCTGCATGATGATTACTTCAGGATTTGGATAGTTGCAAATGCCACATCTGTTCTTGATGAGTTCCTAATACGCAAATATTAAATAATAGTTTATTTTGATGCAGGTTTCTTTTTTGTTGGGATTTATTCCTGTATTTACAGCATGGTTATATTCAGAGATATTGGAATACAGGAAATTCTCCTCTCCTTTGAAAGTGTAAGATTCTTCTTCAAACTGAAGATACTCATTAGAAGTTTCATGTTTGAATCTTTTTGTGTTTAATCAATTGTGAAGTGTTCGTTGATTATTTTTCTTATGTCAAAATATAAGGGTTCAATTATTAATGCATAATTTTGGTCCTTATTCATTTTAGTTTGGAACACTATTCCATTGTTTGTTTTTTTAACATGAATAATTTTGGATTTTCTTGTTATTTTATATGTTCCTTGGATCATGTATGCTTGTCCAATATGTGTTTTAAGGACATTTGTTCACACTGGCACCTTTAACTTGTTTTTGAAGCACATGTTTGAATTTAGTTCTTTTTAGATGTTCTGTTGATTATACACGCCAGTCAAAATGCTTCAGAGCATTTTTCTTCACAACTGTCTTAAAAAATAGTTGTTTTGCTATTTATGAACAAACCATTTAATTTGTATTATACATGAATTCATCTATATATGAGAGGTCTTCAAAATAATGATAAAAGGAGGCTATATACATGCTTCTAAATCTTAAACAAGGTGAGATGTGGATGTTACTAGCATTTATTTGCATTTAAAGTTCCTTGAGATATTACAAAATAAAAGTTTTATTTTCTTTAATAGACTGATTGATTTCCAAATTAAGCAGAGTCATTTATGGTTGAAGTTTGAAATTCTTATGTGCCTGCTTCCGTATACATTGCTAATACTAAGACAAAAAAAGCCACCTTTATGTACAGATCATCTTTTTATATGCTTCTAAGTATATTGTATATGTTATTTGCAGCCATTCAGATACCAATCTGGTTGAGTTAGGAAATGTAATGGTTAAAGAAGGCGACCACGTCATGTTGCTTGAAGGAGGCTTATCAAAGTCTGCATCTGCGAAGTTTCAGAGTGCTTCTATTCGTACAACTGTAATAAGGTTAATATTAAACATCAGTGGAAAATATTTTTGTTACTGAAAATAAGCAATAGAGACTTAAATTACCATGACTGTCCAAGCTGTAAGAAATTACTATTTCTGGCGTAACATATGCTGCAGATTTGTAACGATGGATGAATCCTTCTTAGTTGAAAACCGGGCACTTTTACGTGCATTGTAAGTTCTCTGGCATATCTTTACTTGAGATATCTATTGTTATCATTCATTGTCCCATGTCTAATTTATGTCATACAGGTCAGAATTTGGTGGCTTCCTGGTCTACTTCTACATATGTGACCGAACCAACTTGTTCTCAGAAACCAGCAAGGTTTGTTCAGTCTTCAGTTTGAACTATTAGAATGTTTTTTAAAGATGATTGTTCCTCTGCTTCAGCTTATTGTATCCAGCATGTTCTATGTCTGTTTTAAAATTTGCAAATGTGAAAAAGCTAGATAATAATCAATGCTAATTAATTCTGCATGCAGTTGTCGGTTATCTGTGATTTTCTCTTTTTAATTAGTTTATACCATATAGGCAGGGTTAGAGCTACAGTGGGGACCATAGGGGCATGGGCCCACACTGGTCCATTAACATAAACACAAAGCAAAAAAGCCCACTACAAAACTCTAGCCCATACTTGAACAAGAAAAAGCCCACATCAAAACCATATAACATATAACAATAACCCACAATAAATGGGACAATCCTGGGATTCGAACTCAGCTCACTGGCTTTACTTGAGTTGATGATACCAACTAAGCCACCAAGCAATTGTTGCTTCTACTCTTACTGTTTTATATTTATATTATAATTATGTATTAAATTTCTTTTTTATACAGTTAATTCTTAAATATTTAAGTTGAAATAAAGTAATTATAGATTTATGTCTAAGACAACTAATACAATATAAAATTTGATAAATTATTAAAAATAATACTAAAATTTTGAAAGATCAAAATATTACTTTACAATAAACTATTAAATAGAAAAGGAAAAAAAATCACCCGAAGATGTTTGAGAGTAATTTGAAAATGATCAATTTGTGCCCCAATAATAAAAATTTATAGCTTCGCCCCTACATAGGTACATTCCCTGTAGTTGAAGGATAAAAATTTGTTATTAAAATAGTACCGGAAGGTTCTGGTATACAATGGCTTAGAAACAGGCTACTCTCATTTTCATTAATATCTTAAATTGCTAAGGACATGCAGTTTATTGATTACATTGATCATACTGAGCTGTACATTTTGGTGTTTTTGCTTTTTTATCAGCGTTTTTCCTATGGCCATTTGATATTTGATAAGCCATCATTTTTTTTTCCTTGCACTTTCATGAAATTAGGTTTGGTTGGTCTTCTCAGCTCCATTAGACAATCTGTTTGGAATTGGTATAAGTACATAAAATTTGCCTTTAGCATTACGCTCTTAATCTTGATTATTATATTGGAATGGAAAATCAAATACCTTTGATATTATTGTGTTCTTTAGGAAACTTCAGGCGTTGCCTGTCAACGCGTTTCCAAGTCATCAAATAATCTCATGTACAAGTATTACATGGCACCTTACTTGTAGAACACATTTATGGCACCTTCATTGTTTTGTGATATATACATTATTGGATTCAAAGTTGTCTGTAGAGAATAAACTAACCTTTACTTGGGAGGATTGAATCACACTTGGATAGGTAGAGAATTCCTTGGAGAATTGGTTTACAGAGAATCTGATTGAATTCCTTTAAATGAACAGGGAAAAATCGGATTGAGTTAAGGGAATGATTCAAAGAAATAGAGTGTTTCATTTTATTTTTTTTAAATTTGATGTCTCACTTTTTGTAACTTTATATGGTTGTGCTTTTGACCTTTGGCCTCCTACCTCCTATTTATAGTTGGAGACATAGTCAACGATATTGAGTTAACAACTGGACAACTGCATAGAAAAGAATAGGATGATCTCTCTCTACCTTATCATGTAGTGGATGAGTTCACCTGGTGAGTCTTAGGCTCTTAACTCAACACATTGGTGAATACTCTTAGCAAATAGGTTAGTGGGAGACTCCATGAGCCATTTAATCGAGTTCAGTAACTTAGTAGTGAGGATAGAGTTTAGGTAAGCTCTTAGGTGACTTAGTGATACTTGGGTGTCTTGCTGATTTGAAGGCTTCAGACGATTTTCAAGTAGATGAGTATAGAGTTGCAAGCAGTTCAGGCCAGTTCAATACACGTCGACTTTGTGGACCCATTTTAGATCCACATCATGGATTGATTAATCTTCCCAGGAAAATATGGGTGTGCATGCATTCTTCAACTCTCTTTCCCTTCTGAGAAGTTAAGGAGTATAAGAGAATTAAGTACTGAAAAACTTAATTCATGTTGGGTGCCTCGAATTGCAACCATTAATTAATCTAGAGTAAAGTAATTAGTGAATACTTGGATTCTTGATATGTGTTTGACACTTTAGGATAGGTGTATATAAAGTAAAGATTTGAACTTGTTGTGACCTTGACCTTTGATTTTCCAATGTCTTGTTTTTTTAGAAATGAAGAAATTCAATGGAGTTCTCGGCTCAGATGTTTTGGATATTTTACTGAAACGGTTTAATAAGAAAGCAAATAAGAGAAAATTCTCTTTATCCATTGAGGGATTATCTTTAACAGAGACCCTTATTAAAGAAAATAAAGATTGAGAAGAAGAACCATTAGAATCCATAACCTCAATTGGTTTAGACAACACTTTAGAGGAAGATGTTGATGCCGAGAAACTGCGAAATAAGGAGCAGTTATATTGGCTAAGGTTTTAGATGCTAATTTGTGGATTTGATACCATTGTGCCATCTTCTCAGACTTAGGTGAATAGATTTGTTGACAATCCGAATTTTAACACTCCTTGGAGAAGATTTTTTCTTTTGAGCCAATTTTTATGTATGCCTCATGCAAGAAAAGTGAAAGTTTAGATATTGTGTTTTTGATACTTTCTTTTCTTAAACTTTTTGTTGGTTGAAGTTATTCTTAATGAATGAAATGTTCTTTCTTTGAATATATGTTTATGATAATTTAAAAAATTTGTTTAGATCTTAGTTCTTGTTGATTTGTGTTATGTATGCTTGACCTTAGTTTAATGAAGTCGATGCTTCATGGTATAGTTACCCTTCATAATGAAGCCAATATTTTACTATACAGTTGACATATTGTCATGGAATGAACAAGTTACCTTGTAGTTAATTGTTTACCCATGTAATCAGTAGGTTTGACCAAGCTAAAGGGGATCTCTGTGCCCAATTTTGAATTTCCTGATTAGGTTTGTGAGGATGACTAAATCTTTAAGCTCTAAGCTTTTTAGGAGATGACAACTTCAACAGCACTCTTCTTAGGAGGTAAGGTTCATCTTCTTAAGACGGAACTGCAACAACATTCCTCAGAATTAAGCGATGTTGATGACCAAGGGATGCAGTAATTTCTCACCTGCAAGGAGAAAAAAGGAGGAATAACTTGTGGAAAGTGCTCAATGATGTTCTGGATCATCTTCGTCAAAGCTCACTGTGAAGAGGCCTCCTACGATCATTGGGGAGATGCATGCTCTGGTTTCAATCTTCAACATTATCCATGGTCACAACATCTAAGAGGATGTTGGATTCAAAGTTTTCCTTGAAAATAACCTAGATTGTTTTGAGGATTGAATCATACTTGGATGCAAGAAAAGGGGAGAAGGTTGTTCACTGTGAATCTCTTAGAGAATTGATTTATAGAAAACTCAGTTGAACTCCTTTACTAGATAAGGTGAGTCAGACCACCAAATCAAGGAAACACAATTCAAAATAAGAGATCGTGTGAAATTTGTCTTTTTTTAGTATAGTCATACCTGATCTTTGACCATCTATTTATAGGTAGAGACATGGACCGATGTTAAAGAGCTGGCAATTTGATACCTTTACATCAAAAAGAACATGATTATCTCATTATAGTTGATAGCGTAGTGGGCAAGTTCACTTGGTGAGTCAAAGGCAACTCAGAGAGTAAGCATGTAGTGTATTACAAGTTGGTTTCTGTGAAGAGTAATTCGGGCAAGAACTTTTTATTGGTTTTGTGGCATTAGGGGGGAGTATACTCAACACATTGATGAGTGATCTTGGCAAGTAGGTGAGTGGCAATTTTATGTGTCTTTTGGTCATGCTTAGCAGCTTAGTATTGAGACCTGAGTAAAACTAGCTTTGAGGTGACTTTCTAATAATTGGGTGTCTTGCTGATTTCAAGGCTTTAGGTGATTTCAGGGTTGATGAGTTTTGAGTTGTGAGTGATTCAAGCTGGTTCAATCTTCAACGACTTAATGAACATAATTTTGATCCACGTCATAACTCGAGTAAACTGACCTACCTAAATATGGATTTACATTCATGGGCAAATCCACCCATGGCTTAGGGTGGGCAAATGCCCACCCTCAAAATTTTTTATTTTAAATATTTAGAGGGGGCATTTTGAAATATTTTTGGTATTTTGGGCATTTTTCCCCCCTTAAAAATTTTTTTTGCTCTACTTTTATCAATCATAAGCATCTTTGCCCATCCCTCACAATTTTTTTTTTTTGCCCACCCTAAAAAAAGAAGCTGGATCCGTCCCTGTTTACATTCATGATTTGAAAAGCAAGCAACTGATAACTTAGGTGATTGTGATAGAGAGAAGAATTGTAAGGTGATATTATAATACTATTTTGAGGATAAAAAAATTATTATGTTCATTGGATGCGGAGAGTAGAACCTAATGATGTCACACTAGAAAGTAGATTTTGTGATTTGGGCATGTGCATAAAAAATACACTAATAAGAAGGATAATTAGAATTAATGTGCAAGTTTGTTAGAGTTCAAATCTCATGTAGCATTCAAAATGAATGAATGGAGAAGGAGATTTCATAATTCCAACCCCAAGTAGTTGTGAATTGGGATAAGTTTAATGTTGATGATTGTGATGTTCTTTTCAAGTATGTTAATTATTTCCTATAGAGTATTTTCTACAAAAAAAGAGCTGTGGCATGAAACTAAAGCTTCATTGTTTTCAATGCATATGAATACTTACATCTGTTTTACATGTCTGCTTTTGATTTTTCCAGAGTTATAGCCGTGACCTATTTGTCTTCCTCTACCTTCTTCTCATCGTAGCATCTGCCATGACTTCTTTAAAGAAGCACCATGACAAGTCAGCGTTCTCAGGAAAATCTATTCTTTACTTAAACCGGCATCAAACTGAAGAGTGGAAGGGATGGATGCAGGTTGGTAACTAAGTTTTGCTGTTGCTTGCTTCTTTCCTTGTAACGATTTGTTACCTAGAACTATGTCGATCAGTTGTTTGTTTGCTTCCTTTTACCTTACTCTAATGCTGAAGTTATTTGAAACATTTTTTGAACTTACTGTATACCTTTAGTTGTCATCGCAATGATTTTATTTAGCTGTTCATACTGCAAGTACTGGCCTCAAAACTTGGGCATAAAGATGTAACTTCACGATCTTGATAGTAGCATTTTATCGCTGTCTAAATTTCATCCATAAGCAAAAGAGTATTTTTTCACGTTATAATTTGGATATTTTGATTTCATTGAAATTGATACAACGTATCTTAACAACATGGAAAGTTGCTACTGCACTACTCTTTACATGAAAGCAATTGGAGTCCAGTAGCATGTCTAAAGATGTGAGATCTTTAGGTGGAACCACATGGCTTTTTTTCTCTTTTACATGGTGTGTATCCAAGAGGGAAAATTCAAAAAAAATCTACATTGCTTCACCTGATTGGAGTCCAAATGAAAAGCTATGTCCAGACTCTGAACGTAATAATCTCTCATTATAAAGGCATACTCCTACTAGGCTGCCCTTTGTTTGACCTACTTAAAAATCCTCTTATATCCGTAGCGGAATGTTTAAATTGAAGATTGGCAAAGGAAGGACTTCAAAAATGTTTCTCGCAGTTTCTTGTCTTCAATTGTGTATAGTGCCAAGAATGGGCTCATATAACTTAATTAAAGAGCTAGGATGTTTGACAAATATTTGATGGAAATAAAATGGTAGAAATAATTAACCGTGGTGTAGTAACATGCTTTCATGAGCAAGTTAACTATTACGTCGTTGATTTTGATGTTTGGAGGTACTGGCCATGTACCTACCTAATACTTTGGTTGTGATTATTCATTTTTTCTATTTCTTTCGGAAGAAATTTAGGGAGAAATTTTTTAAATTAATCAGTTTTATTTACGTAATATTTAAGTGGGAGGAGAAAGGAATCTGCAGCCTAAATGGTTATCATGTCGGTGAAGCTTTTTTTTGTTTTTTTACTGCACTACCATGAGCATGAATTTTTCTTAGAAAAAAAATGAAAATTCATCTTTGACATGATCATCAATACCGGTCATAATTCTTTAATTGGACAATCAAAGGTCGTCGTGTCTGACAATATTTCCAATCTTTGATATCATTTTCTCCTCCTTTGCAAGGTCTTATTTTTGATGTACCACTATTTTGCTGCCACGGAGATATACAACGCAATACGTGTGTTCATTGCTGCCTATGTCTGGATGACTGGATTCGGGAACTTCTCTTACTATTATATAAGGAAGGATTTTAGTCTTGCACGATTTGCTCAGGTACCTATGATTGTTAACCTTCATGTTGTAATATTTATGTTCTTGCATATACGCTGTTTTACTTATGTTATTGTCGACAATTTTAATAAATGAAATGCAGATGATGTGGCGTCTAAATTTCTTTGTGATATTTTGTTGCATCGTCCTCAACAATGATTACATGCTATATTATATCTGCCCAATGCATACGCTCTTCACAGTCATGGTATACGTGACGCTTGGTATCTTCAACAAATACAATGAGATTGGGTCAGTGATGGCTGTGAAGATCATGTCCTGTTTTTTGGTGGTGTTCTTGATTTGGGAAGTTCCTGGGGTTTTTTATCTTCTTTGGAGCCCCTTCACCTTCTTTTTAGGTTGGTTTCTCAGATCCTACATACTACAGAGCCCTCTTTTGTTTTTGATAATCTCACACAAGTGACAGTTGTGCTTTCCGGTTGCAGGGTATAAAGATCCAGAGCCTTCTAAGGCGAACCTCCCTCTTTTGCATGAGTGGCATTTCAGATCCGGACTTGATCGCTACATCTGGATCATAGGAATGATATATGCTTACTACCATCCAAATGTGAGTTTTTTTAGCATCATTTGTTGATTGATTTATTATGTTCCCATTCCAAGCTATTTACTATCCCACTGTTTCTTTCTTGGAGCGTTGGATTTGTGATTATGTGAGGTTTCTTAGGTATTTCAATCCTCTTCCATATCAGGTTGAAAGATGGATGGAAAAAGTTGAAGAAGCTGAAGCCAAACTCAGGTTCTCAATTAAAACATGTATAATTGCAGTTAGTTTGATGGTAGGCCCTACGATTCACTTTGTTAAGATCAAGTCTCTATCTTTTTATAATTAAGTACATGACTAATGAATCCTATTTTGTTAGGTTGGTTTTTTGTGGTACGAGTACATTTACAAACTAGATAAAGTTAGTTACAATAAGTATCATCCCTATACGTCATGGATCCCAATCACGTAAGTACAGAGTTTATTCAAGAAAAAATGTCCCTTTAATTCAAATTGGTACTGTTTCTCAACTAATACCTCCTTTTATTATGTTTTTTAGTGTTTATATTTGCTTGCGAAATGCAACCCAGCAGTTGCGAAATTATTCCTTGACTCTTTTTGCGTAAGCCAAATCTTCTGGACAATTATTGCCATTTTTCTTGAGTTTTCATTTTATATCAATATGCAATCATCCTTGTTTCATTATTTTATTTCTACTGCTTAGGTGGCTTGGCAAGATCACGCTTGAGACATATATCTCTCAGATCCATATTTGGCTTCGGTGAGAATGGAGTTTGACATTTATAAAATGTTTTTTTTTTCTTTTTATCTAATTCTAATCAAATAGCTTCTTTAACTAACGTGTTTTCTCTAATAAAATAAACAACTGAGTCATCGTATCATTTTTTGGTTATAAGCAAACAATGAATATATGAGTTTGGTTTTCTTTAGGAATAATTTTTGTCTTCTATTCTGATATAAATTGTGTTAGAACTGATTTGATCATTTATTTTAAAATTAATGCAATTTAAAATTTTCATATACAACACTATTCTTCATACAAATTTAAAAATTTATGTCAATACAATATAATGTTTTTCCTTTTTTTAACTCTGCATCTAAGAACTATGCTTTCTTGGATATCCGTTCAGGACCTATTGATGAAATGACAGTTGAAGTGTAGATTATTTTTGCTTTTAAACATTTAAGTTATCGAAAAGAAAAAAATTTATTATAGGGGAATAACCAGAAAGATCTAGAGAAGATAAGAAACTGAGATTTGAGAAGATTAGAAGAATAAATGCCTCACAAAAGTGAGGAACCTGACTAACTTTAAGGAGAATCAATTTTCAGAGATGTCAGAAAAAGCACTTTGTTTAGTCCATCCATCATTTAACCATTTGAATTATAGTTTAAGAACATATAATAGTAGCCATAATCTCGTTGCTTTATAACCCTATTAAAATTAAAATAATGAAATACATAATTACAATGACAATAATTATTTCATCTTTCATTATTGACAAAATAATAATTAAGGGCACTATATAAAATTACTTGTGAAAATTGTCACAAACAGGACTTAACGTTGACTACTAAAAAGTTGATTATTTTCCACTGCATTACCTATCTAATTATTGCTTTCAGAAATGAACCTTAGGCTTCGTTTGAGACAGTTATTTTTGTACTAAAAAGCTGCTTTAAGAAGCAGTAAAAAAGCCGTACCAAACGAAGCCTTACATATCCACATTTTGACAAGAGTTATTTTCAAGCTTTTTTTGGGGTGTGTAGATCCATCTTCTAGTTATGTAAAAACTGTATGAGTAGTTTAAACCTATCATTTTGTCTATGATTTTTCATACATAGTCACCTGTCTAATGAATTGAAATTACTGCTCCTTGAAATTTGCAGGTCAAGCCAGCCAAATGGTCAACCCAAATGGCTGCTTTCTTTTATTCCAAATTACCCACTGCTCAATTTTATGCTTACCACCACAATCTATCTATTCGTGAGTACCTCATCAAAATTTTAGAATTTTTGAAAACGCGAGAAAATCATCATCATACATGTATATTTCACCTCTGTTCGCAGATATCGTATAGGATCTTTGAGCTTACAAATACTCTAAAGAATGCATTCGTCCCTACAAAAGACAACAAGCGCCTACTGCAAAATTTTATTGCAGGGTTAGCCATTTGCGTCTTCTTGTATGTTCTCTCATTCGCTTTCCTCCTCCTACCTACACCCACGGTATGTTTTGGCAATAAGCTGCAATATTCTTTTTTTTTTTCTCTTTTTTTTTCTTATTAACAACTAATTTTATTCCCAGGCATAAACATTGAAATCATATTATTTGAAAAGAAATTTCCTTTGGGTAGCAGAGGCATATGAGTTCAGTTAAAAAGCATAAAGGCTGGGTGATTTGGTTGATTCGGTAATCTATCAGGAAAAACTTGGGAGATTTGAATCAAGCAATTGGTAGCGGAAATATGGCAATGTGAGCCTTTTTGGAAATGAGATGGCAAGTGCTGTGGGAGGTCTCATCTGTTTGGATGTATATTTTTTTTTCTTTTGTTATTTTATGAGTAATATATTCATGAATTCTTAAGAATGGTCATTATATCAATTCCTGTGGTAATGGCCTTTGTTTTAGCTTCATGTATTCATTTTGTTGAGATTTTATTTTTTTTTGAGAATATGGTGTTTTAGCTTCATGTATTAATACTATTTTGAAGACTAAAAAGATGTCAGATGAGTGGAGAATGGATGTGTTAATTCTTACTTTTAAGAATAAAGGTGATGCACAAGATTGTGTGAATTATAGAGGAATTAAGTTAATGTATCATACTTTAAAACTATGGGAGCGAGTTATGGAGCATAGGTTGTGGTGTGATACTAATGTCAATTTGGATTCATGCCGGGTAGGTTGACTATGGAAGTCTTACATTTATTAAGAGGTTTGATGAAGAAATATAGAGAAAACAAGGAGGATATGCATATGATATTTATTGATTTAGAAAAAGCATATGATAAAGTTCCAAGAGAAGTGCTTTGGAGAGTTCTTGAAAAGAAAGGAGTTAATAATGCTTATATTCAAATCATTAAAGATATGTAAGCAGGAGCTATTACTTGTGTTCAAATACAAGATGGTTTGACCAAGTATTTCCCTATTTCGGTTGGGTTACATCAAGGATCAGCCTTAAGCCCATATCTTTTTGCTTTAGTCATGGATGTTCTCACTAGACATTTGCAAGAGGATGCATCTTGGTGTATGCTTTTTACTTATGATATTCTTCTTGTTGATAAAACTAGAGAGGGAGTTGAAAGTATACTTGAATTATGGAGGTCAACATTAGAGTCTAAAGGTTTTCGCTTGAGTAGATCTAAAATAGAATATATGGAGTGCAATTTTAGTAGCAATAGACCTAGTGAGGGAATTGTGACTTTGGGCAATCAAGTTGTTAATAAGAGTACACGTTATAGATATCTTGGATCTATTGTTCAGAGTGATGGTGAAATAGATGGGGATATTATCAGCATAATTCAAGTTGTATGGTTGAAGTGGAGGAATGCATCAGACTTGTTGTGTGATAGAAAAGTATCCCTCAAACTTAAGGGAAAATTCTATAAAATGATAGTGAGGCCTGCAATGCTTTATGGTGCTGAATGTTGGCCATTAAAAGAGAAGCATAATACTAAGTTAAGTGTGACAGAGATGAGGATGCTCAGATGGATGAGTGGCTTTACCCTTATATATAGGATACGAAATGAGCATATGCGTGAAAATGTTGGAGTAGCTCAACTAGAAGATAAGATTAGAGAGAGACGCCTTAGATGGTTTAGTCACATAAAAGACAGCTTTCCAATGAGCACCGGTAGTGTAGAGTAGACGGTATTAGATTTGACTTATGCTAAGAATTTGTAGAGGTAGACCTAAAAAGACTTGGTTATAAAATATTAGAAATGAATCTTTCTTTTATTAGATTTAAACGAGAATTTGACCTTTATGACAACACAATGGGAAAAAAATGATTCTGTAGCCGACCCCACGTAGTGGGGATAAGGCTTGATGATGTTTTCTATCTTATTTCTCTGTTGAGAATATGGTGTTACCCTATGTATTCTATCTTAATTTTTGTTTGGTTCAATTGTGACTTAATTAAAATTAATTGTCTAATTAACATTAGATTAATTATTAATTTAATTTTTAAATTTAATTTTTAATATTTAATTGTGAAATTGTTATTTTTTGGGGTTTTAAGAGAAATTAAGACTTTATTTGAGATAATTTTCTTACTATTTTATGAAGTTATTTTTTTAGTGCAAAATTTGTGTGGAATAACCTCAAAGATAATAAAATGAAGTTCATGTCAGTGCATAACTTGAGCATCAAAGAAGAAGTTCAATATAATCAAGTTTAATTTCTATACCTATTCGCTTCATTGGATTTTCATTGTTTAGTGAAATAAAAAAAAAAATTGGAAAAACAATATTATTTTATATTTGTTTGATTAAGGTATCCTAAAATATTTCTTATAATTGCTAATTGATTAAAAATTTGTTTAGCTAATCATGAAAATATATGCATTCAATTGTTTGATAACTATTGATTAATTAAAGATAAAATTGATTATGCTATAAATATTCTTCATCTTCGCAAGCCGCTTCACTATTACTCCAAAATTTAATGGTGATCAGATCATCAACGGAACTAGGAAGAGCTCACGATGGATAATGTCCACCTACATTTTTTTTTTTGGCCAGAAGTATAAACATTCAATAAATGTATTGCTCAAATATAAAAAATTACTTGTTTTAGTTATATATATATATATTATGTATTATGTAAGCCTCTCTAATTCAAATTCATGTTAGTCACAGGAATTAAAGAAAAACCATGTCTTTTTTAATTAAGCTTTAGGAAGTATGTTAGTTTTATGTTGGAATTTGATTATTTCAGATTGTATTGTTGGTTCATATCTCAAATTTTGTCCGGTCGAGCTTAATGAGGGGCTAGGGGGAGCCCCTCCTGCTCAAGGAAAAAAATGTATTATGTACAATTAGCACAATGTCACGACATTGTATGCTTGAGCACTGCATGGCTTCAGACTTCGGATGGAGATAAAGAGTAGAGCGTCGCGGTGCTATGAGTCGAGCTAAGCAATTTTTCTTCCCTCTTCTTTTATTTCACTTGAAAGTTGCATCCTCTCGATGTTTTTTAAGGGTGTAATCTTATATGTTTTGAGGAGACAATAATGTGTGAAGTGAAAAAAAGATAAAGAGAGAGAGAGAGAATGAGTGAGAAAAAAAAGATCTATAATATATTTCTTTCAATTCATATAGTGAATTTCTTGGTGTGGTGTGTGTGGCTCTAACGATTTTTTCTTGATTTTAAATTTGTTCATGTTAAATCTTGATGTTTTTTTCTTCTTCACTCCACTTTTAATTTTTCTTATTTATTTCGCATGTAATTGCACTTCCCAACAAGTATACACACACACATATATATAATATATATATATATATATATATATATATATATATATATTATATATATATATATAATATATATATATAATTATATATATATTTATATTATTTTTTTTACAGCGTTTAATCCAAACTTCGTACAAAAGCCAAATTAAGAAACTAAAACTTACACTATGATGGAACACAACATAAGCAATTAATAAATTTTTTGAACTTATAATATCATCCTTCATAAAAAAATTATGACAAATGCTACATATATGCTATGCAACTCAACTTAAATAAATAATAATAATAATAATAATAATAGTTAGAAAAAGAAAAAAAATAAGAAAAAAAATGATGCCTTACCACTAAGAGAGGTGTTGAGGAGTGGAGGCAGTAAGTAGAGGATAATTTGTTCAATTTTTTGGCTGTCCTTCAAGTTCATTAATTAATTATTAACAACTCATTTTTATAATTATTCATTCAATGTCAAGAGATCAAATAATGTCAATCAGACAGTCAGCACATCAAATTTTATTTCCAACTATAAATTAAACAGTACAGTATAAGATCCAAATTTATTCGTAGATGACATCTGACCCTCGCAGCTAGCTAACTTAGAAGAGATGACCTATAAACATGTATGAAAATTGAGAGAATAGTCTACTATAAAAAGTATATAGTACAAGTACTCAAAGATGTCAAGATCCCAAGAGTATAAAGATTAAAAAAGATTCAAATTGTTCCTCGTTACTCATTTATAGAGACCTAAGAATTACAAAAGAAAAGGCGACATCTATAAAAAAAATAAAAAAATACAATGCTTTAAAATAGGCAATGTGTTTAAATAAATTGAAACTGAATTGAACTAGAGAGCTTCGACTTAGTGTTAGTGAGCAATGTAGCGCTAGGTTTTAGAGCACAATAGCACCAGAAACTGTAGTTGTGATATTGGCGTCTTTGTTCTATGATAATTTTGAATTTGACATGCAGTGTTGGGTTTGAGCATTGTGGCATTAGGCCACTAACAATATTTTTTAATATATTTTGTCATAAATGCCTTGCATCGCCTACCTAACTCTTTTGCTTGGCCAGGAAGAAATAAGAGAAGAAGAGGGAGAGAAGGGGGAGGAAGAAGAGGGAAGGAGGAGAGACAAAGCCAGTTTATGATCATTTTCATCCGTTGTTCCTTTAACGAAAATTAATCTAAGCATTGTAAGTAATTATCCTCTTACATATATTTTCAATCATTTTGATTTCTATATATTTATCTCTCTTAAATTTTTCAAAAATACATTTTTCTTGATTTTGTAAATTTCATCGTATAACTTTTGATATGTTATAAATTTGATCATTCTGAATAATTTAATATGATTTGATCACATTTTGATCGGTTAAATATGTGAATAGAAATTTCTAGGTAAAATGAATAGAGAAAAACATATTAAAAACATGCTGAAATGATGTATTGTGATTAACATGATAATACTAAAATGTGATACCGATATGACTAAAAGGATGTAATGTACTGACACTGCTCTAATAAGAAATAATATATTCATTGATATTAGATAACATATATGATAACCTTATATGATATTTTTAAGATCCACGTGGTCCACTGATAGGAGTCGATGGATGGAAGTAATAAGGGCAGGAGTAAAATCAAAATCAAGATACTCTCATTTGAACATATGATAGAATACTGATTATTGACATTGATTACTCATTACTAGTACTGATACTATAGCTTACACTGTACTGATATTTTTGCTGCCAATATTATTAATATTATTGAGATTGCTCACTATTACTGATATTATGACTAACAGCGACGCTGATTATTATTACTTGTATGAATCACTGTTACTAATACTATTGATGATGATATAATAGACTACAATGTGATGTGTTATAAATTGAGTTTGTGCATTTAATTGACATATATACTGATGCATAAATTTCTTTATATAATTTACAATATATTATTTTACTTTTTATTTTATTGATTTAAGTTGTAAGAATTTAATTATTGTTGGGCTTTTATGCTCATTAAGTAGTTTTACATATTTCCAGAAAGGGTAAAGACCATGCGATATGAGACTCCAAATAGAATGGTGTATTTATAGCGATGTAACTAGACTTTTGTATCATGACTATTGTATATATAATATTTTTGTGTTTGTAATAATTATACATATTGATGAATATAAATACAATCATATTTTTTTTCACCATTTATATGAAATGTGTATTCTCTTAATTGAAGAAAAAAATTAAAATAAATCTAATTCTTTCAATATAAATTTTGAGGTGTGACTGGCTGAAAGGAGAATAGTTTTATATAATCTTATTAATTTTTTGCTGGGCAAGTTTAGTGATGCCAAGTGTGTACGAACAAGTGGATATGAGCGAGTAAGTTAGCCAGTATTAAGCTATAGTGGCATGTAGCTAGTAGGTGCCCTAGAGTGGTTAGCTACCTATGGTGGAACTTTGGATTACCTAGGGAAGAAGGGTAGTGAACTTGAGTTGCAAGGAAGTCAAGCCTCATGATCGAATGATTGCGATATGACGAGCTAAGAGTCCCTCAAGTAGGCACTTTCTTGTGACTAAGATGATGAGCATAAATGATGACACATTGTCGTACATAATGGCGAGTATTTCTGATGGCCGGTCTTCTGTTATGAGACAAGTAACGAGTCATGTGATGTATGCGGCCTCCTAATTACCCCTTATAAGAGAATAACTTTCCTTTTTGCTTCTTGGCAAGTGGGATCGAGCCTCATTTTGGGGCCCGCTAGGTGCAAGTATGATCCCCCGACTACTTACTAGATATAGACGAATATATGTAGCTTTACTAAATGAAATAAAATACACCTTGGAGATACCATTTAAACATGCTTCAAATTCCCCATAAAAAAAGAGGATATGTTTCAATAATTTACTTGATAAAATAGGTAGATTTGATCCAAGTGGTGAAATAGAAATACTTTTGAACTCATGAAAGTTCCAATTAGTTCTTTTTTATTATGATTTAGAATTTTTTTTCTCTTTAAAAAATAGAAAGATTCGAAATTACAATTTTTCGCTCAATATTAAATTAAAACAATAAAAAAGGGGGTTTTGCGTTCTGTACAACCCCCCACGCCACCAAAGGCCAAGGGCTCTTCCCGCATTCCGCCGCCCCTTCGCCACCACCAAGGGGCTCTTCCCATACTCCGCCGCCCCTTCGCCACCACCAAGACACAACTTTGCATATATCCCTCCCCAAATTGGACTCCTCATATTGCTTACTCGAAACTAATCAAAACCCTTCACAAACCCCTCAATGGCCGCCGCCGCCGCCTCGCCGGCGAGATTCTATGGTGTTAACATCAGCTCGTTCGCGAAATCTACTCCCCGCTCTTCCATTCGATGTCACAATTTCTTCGTTGCACTAAGCCCCTCCTCTCCGTCTCCATTCACTGAGAGCACCTCTACAAAGCGATATCGGAGAGACAGCTGGGCATACGGCTCCGCTGACCTAGCGGCCCGCTTTTCGTCTTCGCCGCTTTGTGACAAGGAGAACGAAATTGCTCTCCAGCTCCCCGAGCTCAAGCGACTCCTAGAGACCCTTAAAGCCGCCAAAAAGTCATGCAGCGATGGCGGAGGAGGAGGAGGAGGGCGGCCAGGGAGCGTGGTGCTGGTCGGAACCGGGCCTGGAGACCCAGAGCTACTGACCCTCAAGGCGGTTTGGGCTATAGAGCGTGCTGATCTCATTCTCTACGACCGCCTCGTCTCCAACGATGTACTGAGTCTAGTTGGAGGGAACGCTAGGCTTCTCTACGTTGGCAAGACTGCCGGGTATCACAGCCGGACGCAGGTGAGCGTTTATAATGTCTTCGACAAAATGCAATTTTGGGATTGTTCTGTTTTTTAAAGAATTAAGAACTCTTCTGTTGGAAGTGCTTCATTGCTTCATGTATTGATGGAGTCACGGTGTTAATTTGCAGGAGGAGATTCATGAATTGCTGCTTAATTTTGCTGAGGCTGGTGCAAATGTCGTGAGGTTGAAAGGAGGGGATCCTTTGGTGAGTTTCCTTTGAAATTTCTACGGGTTGGTAGTTTGATTGTTTGATTTGACAATGAGCTTACATTCTGTATATAAAATAGAATTTAAAGGAAATTCATGAGCATTGGCAGGGCATTTGAATGCTTGAAAGTATGGAAAGTACAGCTGATAAACCTTCCGTTTTGTAGTTTGGTATGTTAGGATAAGCAAGCATGTATAAACTATTTATTTAGATTTCTTAAAAGAGTACATCATAATGTATAATATTAGCATAAGAGTGAAACTGCAAATGAATTATGGAACTTTAAATAGTCCTTGTATGTGCTCAATTGAAATCTATTAAGCTATTTTTTTCCTTAAACATGCATCAAATCTTATTAGGCAATTTAGTCCATTGAAAGTCATGCGATACTCCAATGATCAAACTCATTTACAATCCAAATGATCTTGTTTGAGTGGATTAACAACTTGATATTTATATACCAATATATTTTCTAATTGTTTGATATTGGACAAAACTCATTAGTCTTATGATTCTTACAATTTCCTCCCACATAAGAGCTTTCCATATCGGTTATCACTAACTCTTAAACGAAAGTTTCGTAATACCATATGCTATCATGCACCAAGAGCCACTCAATCACATGGAGTTGTCTTAGGAGTCACGTGCTCTTAAATCTTTCTCAATCATGGTAGAAACCAGCGAAGACCCTTGGGATGTTTAACTCTCCACTTGGGCTGTTTGTCTGTTTCCTAAGGGTCTAGTACTAGCTCTGAAGCTTTTTATATGTTTATCATTTTTCTTAATGCTCTATTATTATCTTCCATATATGTTCGATGCTTATGCATTCTACTTCTATCACAAAAGAGACCTTTGATTTACAAATATGTAAAGTCCTTCTTCAATTCATTATAACTTTCTTCAGAATTAATTTAATATGTTACTTGTTAGGTGTTTGGCAGAGGTGGAGAGGAGATGGATTTTTTGCAACGGCAGGGAATAGAAGTTAAAGTTATTCCAGGTTGAGATACTTGAATCAATGCATTGCGGGTTTTAATGCAAATAGATCATACTTTAATAGCCAATCATGTTCATGCAGGGATAACTTCTGCTTCTGGAATAGCAGCAGAGCTTGGGATCCCATTGACACATAGAGGCATTTCAAATAGGTACTAGCATTTTATCTATCGATCCTATTAGATGCCAATCTTATATATGCATTTAGAATTCTCATATCATATCAAAAGGGAATTGAGGACAAATTTTAATTTTATAAAACTCCTGGGTATATTCTAGGAGTCAATTCTTTAGCTGATTTTTATGAGATCTTGCAATATTCAAGCATTTATTTCTTATATTGCAAAATTAGTTATTTTCATTTTTTTAATCCTGTTATCTGTTCTTTGTTATACATTTTATGCTATATTTGAATGTAATTAACAATTTGACATTTACTCCTATAAGCACTTTTTCCCGTTGATTGTGCAAAAATAAGACTGTTTACTTCGTCTCTTTGTATTTCCAAAACTTGATTAGTTGTGAAGTACGAAAAGGCAGATGCATCTATCGTAAGCTTATTCTATGCACATTCAGATCACTCAATTTTCTGTAAACTCAATTCTAAAGAAACCATCCAAATGTTATTAAAATGAATTACCACTTCAGGTGCTATTTGTCTCGTATTTTTGTACTATTAACAGTTATTGACTTGAAACTGCATAGATGAACAGTTGCGCACTATTAAGACTCGTTTGGTAATGCTTTTCAGCTATTTTTCTTAAAAAACAAACCTGGCATTTCCCAAAATTTTATTTATAAGACATTTGACAGACTGTGTTCAACTAAAAGTCCACCAGTTTCATGGTTTCATGACCATTAATAACATTATAGGATAACATCTCACTCTAATATAATAGCTAATATGTTATTCTGTACCAAGTATTACAACTAAACATGGTTTAAAATTGCGCAATATGAGGCTCGTTTTGAGGCCCGCCTTTGCACAATTCTAGTAAAAAACGCCTCGATGCTTACGCATTGAGTTTTTTTTATGAGGCTTGCGCCTCAACTTTTAAACATTGCAACTAAACAACATTACCAAACAAGACCTGAGCTTCCTCGATGACGATGTGGCTGCTACAGCTTCCGAAAGTTATTTTTTCTGTTGATGATGATGGCAATAAAAGTTCCCTTCCAATATTGGCCATAATAAAATCTATTCCTCGTTGATATATATCAATTTTCCATATTGGTATGGGAATATGTGCGATTTTATCCTCTAATTTATCATCCATGATGATATCAGCCTATGAATTGATTCAAACTAACATGAGATCTAATTTGTAACTTACTCTGGTTAATAGAATGAACCCTTGAAAATTTAAGATATTTATGGTCTAAACATTCTGACTCATTTTTTACTCAAAATCAATTTGGAAAATTTCCTCTCTGCAACTCCACTCTCTCTCTCTCACTTCTCCTTCAATAAAAAATTTTATTGCAATTGCTTTTTCTTAAACACCAATTCATCAGGTCATAGGAGTTACCAAACTTGTTTCTGTCCTGCAGCGTTAGATTCTTGACTGGGCACTCAAGGAATGGTGGTACTGATCCCTTATATGTGGCGGAGAATGCTGCAGACCCTGAATCAACTTTGGTTATCTACATGGGCTTGTCTACTCTTCCTGGCCTTGCCTCAAAGTTAATGAAGCATGGCTTGTCACCTAAGACGCCAGCCGTTGCTGTAGAGCGAGGGACCACTCCTCAACAACAAACAGTGAGCACATATTCTCTAAGGTTTCGTTTGGGATGACTTTCTTACTGCTTCATAAAATAACTTTTTAGTACAAAAAATTAAAATTTTTATACTAGAAATCTGCTTTAAGAAATAGAAAGATAGTCGTCCCAAATGAAACCGTCATTCCTTCAAGTTTTCTAGCCATGTTATCTCCATGTTGTCTGTTTGCTTTCATAAAACACTATCAGTAAACTATATCGAAGGAATATTTGTTCCTCTAAGCTACTTATCTATTGCTCCAGGTGTTTGCCGAGTTAGAGAAACTTGTCTCTGAAGTGAAATTAGCCAATTTAGTTTCTCCAACTTTGATCATAATTGGTCAGGTGGTCGCCCTGTCCCCTCTCTGGCCTCGATCCTCTGAAGAACAATCAGAGTTGCAGATGAGGCAATCATGCAGCACACGCCAGTAGCTACAAATTTTTTTTTTCAGTGAATCCTTCCATTGCCTCAGAGATGAAAGATATTTTCTTTTTATCATGATTTAATTCTGCGGCACAAGGCAACACTATGGCTTCCTTTGGGACGGCTTTATTACTGCTTCTTAAAGTTGTTTTCTAGTATAAAAATTTAAATTTTTTGTACTAAAAAGCTGCTTTAAGATGCAAAAAGAAAGCGGTCCCAAACGAACTAATTTTAAGGTTGAGAAGTGGTTTATTATTTGGCAGGCTCATCACATCACCTCTGCTGTTCATGCTAGTTTTGTAGCAGGTGCATAAATGGGTTTGTTTAGTCCCAAAATTTTCATGTAGAAATTTCTTTTCCACTCCGCCTGAGTTGAAGTTGCAATCCCTCCAAGCAGTTTGCTTGTGTTTACTGGAACTTGGGTCATATTGATCAAATTGTTGTACTTGTCACTGTGATTCTCTCGTGTTCTGACTTGAATTATGCTGATTGCTTCTATAGAAATATCATCAAAATAATCGTCATTTACTGGTTTGTGCTTCTGTTAGTGGTATATTATGCTTATAATTAATACATCAACAGAACAATTTTTTTACTGTTTCTTTTGAAATTTTTATATTAAAAAGTTACTTTAAGAAGTCATAAAAAAGCCGTCGTTTGTGCAGTTTTTTTTATTGCTTTTTAAAGCAGTTTTTTAATACATTTTTTTTGTACAAAAAAGCTATCTTAGAAAATAATAAAAAAGTCCTAAATGAAACATTAATCTATGTATGATATGTATGAGATGATGCATTTTATAGCATGTTAAAAATTTTGCTCATATATATATGTTTAATAAATTTTAGCTCTACGTATAAAACATTTTTTTTTTCAATTGCAATATAATTTTATTATTTTTCAACTATTTAATCTGATAAATTTTTAAAGTTTTAAAATAGTAAATATTTATTATTTGTATTGCTATTTCATAAAACTTTAAAGATATATATATTTCTGTTGTGGAGATGATAATTTACTTTTCTATTGTGTAAAAAGAATTCATGACATTCCATGTCCTCTCAATACAAATAAAATATCCCACTTCCACCATCTCCTTGGACTCGTTGATAAATTATTCTGTGCGGTCATGATTCGGAGGTGTATCAGGATGCGTCATATTATTCAGTATATAATGGTACACAGCATCGGTACAGAGATAAAAAGTGATGTGGCGCATCTTGATTCACTTCTGAGTGACGTTTGGTGATCGCTCAGAATAATTTCACGGACAAATGAGATACAAATGTTGCGACCTCAAGAGAGAAAAGGTATGGCGTATTCAGTAGGAGACATGATGAATTCTTAATAATACACATCTTGTTTATACTATTCTTCTCTTTACCCTGACCTAAAACAGATGCAGAATAAGCATGCATAAGCAAACTATAGCTCGATAGGCTACACTGAATTTATCTAAATTCTTAATAATACACAAACAGTATACACTGAATTTATCTAAATTCTTAATAATACACAAACAGTATAAACAATAAAATTGACTATCTTTATAGAACTTTAAGCAGATTACACAACATAATACCTTTGTACTTAGTGTCTTAAGAGCAGATGGATATATATTTTCAGGTTCAAGTTCAGTGTTAGCGCAAAATAATTTGAAAGACAAAAATGATCAGAAGCAGCATGAATCGAACTTTCTCTCTCTAGGATCTCACCTTCTCACTCTCTCTCTCTCTCTAGATAGTTAGGATTTAAGATAAATGATTTTAATTTTTAGAGTTTAGTGGACCTTGATATTTATATAAGAATTCATTTCACAGAATCGCGACACTCAAACTCCTAGCACTCAGTGCTCCCTTTAAATTTCAAAAAGATAGGGAGCATATATATGGCCACAGCTATATTACTATATAGCACCTCCCCAAATTTCATTTTCTTGTTTTAAAAAAGAAAATATAGAGAGCTAAGCACCCAAGTGCTCCCAAGAGAAATTTTTAAATATGCAAATATGCACACATAGAGCCCTCATGATATGCTCTAAAATAGAAATGATGCATTCATAAATACATAGAGATGTTCACAAAATAGAAAATATAAAAATGCAAAACCAAAAGAATTACCATATCAGTTCAAAACACTGTTGCAATGGATATTACACTTCCCTTCAAAGAGGTGTTGACTATTGTCTTAAGATAGATTGTATTTAGAGGTAGTCAAGACTTCTCATCCCAATAATAAGGCTTTGGCCTTACCTTGAAAAAGGTGTTGGGAGTCATTGTCAGACGAACCACATTTATAGGAGATCAATACTTCCAGTCCCTATGGTGAGGCTTCGCTCATCTCTTGAAAGAGGCAACCAGTATCCTCATCAAACAAAGTGAATTTGAAAGCAATTAAGGCTACCCGTCCCTATATAAAGGCTTCAGTATGCTCTTGAAAGAGGTGTGGACTATCCTCATTAGATTGGATTTAATCAAGAATTATAACCCCTACGATGAGGCTCTGATCATCACTTGAGAGGAGTGTTGACCGTCGTCACTGGAAGGACCAAATTTGGAGGTGATCAAGGCTCGCTTACGCACTTCTTCTCAAAATTCATACTCCAATATTAATGATTCAAGCATGACCGTGGGTCGTAATATCATTAAAATCATTTGAGATGTTCTTGAAAAATAGAAAATTACGTGGAAGAAGAGGCTGCCTATTTGAAGATGCTAATGTTGGATACCAATATTAGTGATGCCAAAAATCAGTGTTAACTTTGATGTTATCGAAATCATTTGAGACATGTGGCAATTGAAGTAGAGTTTACTTTCTTATTAAAGTTGCAACAATCTCCTAAGAGAAAAGAGACCTCTCGTTGGTAGCTAAGGCAAGAGATTAAAGAACATAGAAGACTTAAAATAACACGATGAAGAGTGTGTTAATATCATGTAGTAGTTTTGTATGTGAATTTGAAATAAGAATTCTTATTTGTACATATGTAGCCTTCTTCATAGTTTACTAGAAATTTACAATCAAATGGCTAAAAGTAATGAAATCTCAATCTTTTATGTAATAATAATCTGATATTTTGAAAACTTGCTCCCTGTGTGAGACTTAACCATTTTGGATGCCTATTTTTCTGGGTATCATTGATACTTTGACAAAATAGTGATAAGATTTATTAATTGAGTAATTTTAACCAAGCTCCTTATCAGTGCTAAGAAAAGTTATGAAGAATTCTTTATAGAAATTTTATTTTTCTTAGGACATTAATATGAATTGTCACCCTAAATCTTAAACTATGATAGAAGATGTTAAAAGTAACCTATCAAAGATGTTTGATCTGTCCAAGATTGTTTGCTTGAATGTTATTGGATGAACTTAACCAATTTCGAAGAGGTCAAGAAAAATCCACTAAAAAAGTTTGACCTATTTGAGGTTATTTGTCAGTGTTGCTCAATGATATTAACATGTGTGGAAGAGATCGATTGAAATCAACAAAGAATATTTGACTTCTTTAAAGTTTGTTTGCCAAAGCGTTACTAGATAACATTAAATTTTGTTAAAGAGAGAAAAAAAATTCACTAATGATATTTGATCTATTAGAGTTTATTTTTAAGTGCATTACTCGATAAATTTAACTTAAGTGAAAGAGGTCTACCTGAGGTCAATTGTGCACCCATTAGGAGGTTGTGATTAATGCCACGACAATCTCAAATCGAAGGTGAAAATTTGTTTGTCTTTAGACCATTATTGCCCTTTTAAGTTCATAATTGTGACTTTGCATAAGAAGTTACAATTTTGCAAGGGTTTGTGTAAAGTTTGAAATTAACATGAGCATTTATTTAAAATTTCCGTATTTGCCAAAGAAAATTAAGAAAGGTGACTGGCAATAATGTTGACTTGGATGCAAAAAAATATATTGGATGGGAGGACTATGCTTGTCTACAACCATGCCCAAGATGTTAACATATCCCTTCGAGATTGCAGCCAAGTTTGTCAATCAATCCACATATAATTCCCATGAAATTGATGCAATAACGGATGATAAAAGAGAAGAGTTTTCTAACTATAACTAAGTATAGGATGTTGTTCATTTGATGTTGCAATCTTAAGTTCTTTCTTTAAAAAATGATAAAATGGAAGATGGCAAAGGAACTTTCCTATTACAACCATACTTAAGACTTGACATGACCAAACTTTCAAAGTTGTAATAATGGTTGTCTGCCAACAAAGAATTATTTCTCAAAGACGATGTCAAACTATTCCATGCAATAACATTTGTAGCAGAAGAGAGAGAGAGAGAGAGAGAGAGAGAGAGAGAGAGTGAGAGATTAATGTTTTAGCATTTCTACAAATATCTAACATATACATATGTAAAAGAGGATGCAAGAGACACTAAAGTTTTTATATATAAAACATGAAAAAGGTAAAATCCTCAAGGTTGGACCTAATTGAAATGATTTCACTAATTTATATTATCAGTTGTAACTAATGCTCTTCCCTATAACTTAGGAAAGTATTGATATAATATAATAGACATAAACTACACAAAATAAATTTTGTGGCAATAGGATGAATTCTATGGCATGGAAACTATTTTTAAGAGATAGTTTGCTATCTATTTGATTCTCTATCTATTTGATTCTCTTCTGAGAATGAGAGAGAAAAATTAAGAAATCTAACATAAATATTAATGCTAATGTTGGGAGCCAGACTTAATGTTGATGGTGTACATCGTCCTTATGAGTGATGGTTTGCATAATCGTTGTCGGCAATGACAAGCAACAAAGTTAGCAGGCGTCAATGTAGTTAGTTAATAATGATGAAATTACCATAGTCGGCCGACAGTGTTTGGAGGATCGTAATCAAGAAACGATGTTCGGAGGATCGCAGTAATGCGACAATGGTTGAAAGATCACAATCCAGCAATGGTGATTGAAGGATTGCAATGATGGCGATCAGGCAAAGGTCTAATAGTGATTGTAGGGCAATGATTTGATGACAACGGTCAAGCAACGGTTTGATAGCGACGATCAGGCGATGGTCTTACAAGGCAGTGTTCAGTGATCTGACAGCAACAGTTGAGCGGTGGTCTAATGGCAATAGTCGGACGGTTGTCCGATGGCGACAGTGCTCAATTTGACTATAAGCATGTAAAATTTTATAGATTTTTTAGAAAAATATGTTTCATAAATATAGCCAAAATTTGAAACACTCCATTGGAAGTTTGTATGAATTCCCTCAATTATAGATTGTTCATTCATCATTTAAGTGCATGAATAATATTGGTATTAAATGATTTTGGGATCGTTGAATTCATCTCGTCATGACACTCAACTTGACTATAAGCATGTAAAATTTATAGATCATTTGGTTCACCAAATAATGTTTTTAGATTTTTTATTATACTTCATATCCTTCTTTTAGACCTATTTGGAGTCGGATCAAATTACATCTTGTATCAATAGATCCATCTTGTCAAAGCTGTTGACTTTAATTATAAGTTTCTTGAAATTGATTGTCAATTTTTGATGATGTATCAAATACTAAATATGTGAATTGTCTTCGTCCCCCCAAAAAACCTAGCAAGGTTAAAACCTCAAAAAAAGAAAAAAAAAAAAATCAAGAGAGGTAACTTCGAAAGATCATAGCCTACCTTTATTTCCCTAAAAATATTGATGTGATTAGTCGTTTCCTCATATTTGATTGAAACTTCATGACTATAATGCACTAATACGAACATAGGGGATACAAACGTGTGGCCTATCTAATAATAAAACATATAATATATGAAAATGCATTATATATATATAATGCATACATCCAATTCATATAATGATAAATTTTATTTTTTAATTAAAAAAAATAAAAACTAAAAATAATAGAAAAAAGAGGCAATATGAATAAATTATAAATTAAAAGGCATATTTGGTTCTCCTTCAAAACTAAAAGCATCTTATGAGTATTTGAATCTTCCTCAATTCCTCCATTCTCAACATTATTATTTCATTTAACCTATGACACAATTTGGATAGACGTATTGTACCTTAATAAGCATATAGGCTTAATCAGGGCGGATCCAACTTTTTTTTTTTTTCAAGATAGATAAAATTTTAATTAATTAGACAACAATAACAAAAATAAAATAAAATAATAACATCAAAATAATAGTAATAAAAAAATAAGTTTTTTTAAATAATTTAATCAATCTATAAAATTAATAAAATATGATAAAGAATAACAATGTTAGATTTTACTTTAAAAATATATAAAATTTATTCATCCTTATTATGCACTAGATTAATTATATACCTTAATTTATTATATAATAAAATAAAACAATATATATTCACTTACAATATCTAAAATACTCTCCATCTTTAACTCCATAGTTAACTTTAACTCTTATTTTAAAGTCTAGGACTAAATTGACTTAAATTTCTAATCTAATTGTCGAGGAACTAAAATGATGCAATACAAAACTCTGAGATAAAATTGAATATTTATCCGTAACAAGAGGATTATTTTGAACTTTTACTTCTTACAAATTTTTGTATGATTGTGGCTTAAAACTATTAAGAAGAAACAAAACATTTTTGGATAATGTCATCATGAGATTGATCTCTAGCTCCAAAAAAAAGTTCAGTCATTAAAATTATGGCCATTAATCAATCGTTGTTCACCAATTGTTTGGTTAGTGTTAGACCTTAATGCTGACCTTCATAACCATAATTAAGGAGATTATGACTATTTAAACCACTAAATTAAGCTAGTTATTTATTTATTAGCCCATTAATTTCATAATTCCTGATCAACTGGTAAATACACATCTAAATAAATCAAATACTTGATTTCCTGCTCAAGCCGGCCTGCAGGCTGCAGACAAATACGGGGCCCACAATTATCCCTTCAGAAGCTGAATGCCACTGGGAGCTACAAAACTTTTTGCGGATCAAGTAAAATTAGCCTAACTTTATTTGAAATTCATCCCTAAGAACAATATTTAGGTTTTGTTTGGGATGACTTTCTTGCTGCTTTTAATTAAAAGCTGTGTTCTAGTACAAAAATTTCTATTTCAAAAAAATTTTATATTAAAAAATTATTTAAAAAAGCAGCATGAAAGTCATCCCAAGCAAAGCCTTAATAAGCATATAGGTTTAATCAAGGGCGGATACAACTTTTTTCAAGATAGATAAAATTTTAATTAATTAAACAACAACAACAATAATAACAAAAATAAAATAATAACATCAAAACAATAGTAATAAAAAAATAAGTTTTTTTAAATAATTTAATCAACATAATACTATCAAATTTATAAGAGTAAATTTTATCATTTTTCTTCTAATTTAATATTGATTTTGATAATATTATAAGTTTAGTATAATCATATACATTATGCTGAAGTTAGACCCTAACTTAGAGAAAAAGAACAATAAATAAGCTTAATGTTATCTAACTTAAAAAAAAGGATAATTAAATCATAAAATATGCATAATATTTAATGGATTTAAGAATCGCTCATGCCCAAATCATAAATCAATAAAAAATTATTAAATTTCAATGCAATGCAATGAAAAAATAATTAAAAAATAGCTAACAAAAAATAAGATTTATTTGTATACAAATTACATTTTTTTTCCTCTTATTTCTTAAAATTCCTTTTAAACCCAATTTATAAATCATAAAACACTTCTTTTTTCTTTGGATAAAATTTCACTCATATTTTCTACAAATTAGAAAGTAAGTACATTACTATTTTATAGTTTCTTCAACCAAATGCTTCTTTCTCTCTCTAAATGATATGCAAAATAACTTTTTTAGAGGGGGTCAAAATTCCAAATTAATCTCCACAAAGACTTCTTTTTTATTTTCTAAGCCCACCCTAGGCTATATTAATCGAGTCCAGTTGATAGAAATTGGGGAAAGTTTTTGACAAATTTCTATCAATCTTGTAATTTTGAAAAGCTGATACAGTAATCTCTGTCATAAACCGACCAAGAAGGCAATTCCAATAAATCCTAAAGCATAAAAGCTACTGCAGACTGCAGTGTTTACACCTCATGCAGAATTAACTGGCCTGAACAGAAATAAATATATACATAATGTGAACAGATGATTCAGATAACAGTAAGTATTATCAATTTTCTTGGAACAGGATCACATATTTCTGTCTAATTGCAAGCCTGCGCCATCGAAACGCTGAGAAGAAATGCCAAAAAAAAAAAAGCAGTGTTCTGTGCGAACACAGGACGGTTCTCCAGTCCGGTTATGCTCGGTACCGATCTCAGGAACCGAGCTAAGTATCGAACGCGATGCATTTTTAGGGTGATGTGGCGTATTTGTATTGATCTTCGGATGCTCTGGACTCCGCACATAATAATAAATCTAAGTAGCTAGAAGTGGACATTAACCGTTTGGTGAATTCACAGACTGTTTGATGGAATGAGAATTTGCCGATTGTCCAGCAGCACTTTGAAGTGGATCTCCTTTACCCTGCATAAATCACTAGAATGTAACTATTCTACAGGTGATTAGAAGCTTAAAATACATCACATCAATCAAAAAAGACTGGTGAAGGAAGAGAGGCTTAAAGAATTGAAAAATATTCTGATATTGAATTTCATTAAATAAGGAAAAGTAACAAGTGACCCTTCACTGCTTGCTAATCCTGCAGCCATTAGTCCTATTTTTTTTTTACAATGAAGACAAATTGGCTTATCAAGAACTATTAGCTCCTCGAGAATTGCCTGCTAATTCCGATACGTGGAATTTCTGCGATAGGTATTGCTTCTGATGTTAAGAGTGCCATTTTTGATGAAGTGACTACAAGAAAAAAATTTAGAGAACAAATTCCTAGTTAGGTGAAAAGATGTGCCTCCTTTAGCTGATGCTTGGATGACCACGAATGAACCATAAAAGCTAGCCAATGATATCTTGAATGACTATACATATTGATGTAGAATGGGTATGGGGGTGGGGGAGATTTGAAATTTGAATTAATTAATTCTCATAATGAGATATCCAATTAGAGAATTAATTAATGGAGAGGAATTAATTGGAGATGGGATATGGAAAGGGAAGGGGCTGGCCATAAGTGGAGGTCATAAATTGGGATTTGATTTAAAGACTTTCCTATTTAGGAATTTATTCAAAATTCAAAATTGAATTGAATAAGTAATATCAAAGCTTCCCAAATGAGGGTGTATGGAAAAGGAAAGTACGCTTCAATCAAGAGCGAGATGGGGGCAAAGGACAGCGGGTAGGAAGTGGGCCGGCGGTTTCAAAGAGGGAGAGGGGGAATTGGGGAAGCTTTAGTTACTTGCCTCTTTGGGAATCCCAACTTAAGGAAAGTAAATTAATTCCAATCTAATTTATTTGTTAATTTGAATTAGATTGGAGGAGTTTCCTAAAATAGAATCTTATTTAAGGAAACAATTCAAATTTCAAATTTGGATTGGGGGAATTGAAAGGAAATATTTCCCAAATTAATTTTGCAAGAAAAGGAAGGGAATAGAGGGAGTTCAATGAGGCATTCAAAGCTTTTTTTAATTAGTAAATTAAATTTGTAATGAAAGATTTCATTCCAATTTAATTCAAAATTTAAATAGGCTATGAATTAGTAAGTTTTCTAAAATAGGATTTATAAATTAGGTAACTATTCAAATTTAAATAGATTTGAATTTGATCATTAAGATAGTTACCTAAAATATGAAAACTAATTTAGGAAAGACTTGATGGCAAGTGGAGATGGGAGGAAACCAAGGGGAGGGCCGGCAGCTTGTGGCTTGGCCGTGAGTGGTGGTGGAGCTAAGGCCGGTTTGGTGGAAGTAAGGAGAGGATGAAAATGACGACTAGGAACAACAAAAAGGAACAAAAACAAAGAAACAAAAGATAAAAGATAAAACTGGGAGCCTTTGACTCTTCCAAAAACTAACGGGTGATACGTTGTCTTTCTCCAAGGGACTTCAAGCCACGAGCCCGGACCCATCCTGCGGCTGGTGAAAACTCTGATTCCTTCCCATAGGAATCTCACTAACGTCCTCCCAAAAGAACAAAAGTGCAGAACACAAATTTTATTATAATTTCATCATACCTAATATAATTCCATCAAAAGAAATTCCTTCATCTCCGAAGCATATTCACACTTCTATTGGAATATCATCAGGTCCAATAGTTTTTTCACGCTTCATTTTCTTTAAAGTCTCTCTAACTTCAGTTTTACTAATATGCTAATAAAAATAAAAATATCTATTTTCATTTAGAGTACTAAGGTCACTAAAGTCAATAGTATTTTCACAATCACCATTGAAAAGCTTAGCAAGATATCTCATTCACCTTTGTTAAATATACTCTTCTAAAAAAAACACTTTTTGATCTTCATCCTTACTTAATGCACTTCACTTGAACTAAATCCTTAATACTCCTATCTCTTTATTTGGCTAAATTTATATATATATATATATATATATATATATATATATATATATATATATATTGCCCTCTTTAAAATCTAATCTATTATGAAAGTTGATTTAAAATTAGAACCACATCATACTCCTTTCTATGTGGCTGTCAAACATCCTTGTTAATTAGTGTTGTCTAGTTTCTATCCAGATGGCTTTTACACAGATAAGATCTATTGTTATGTCATCTACATGAATGCTGCAAATATCATCTTAAGTTTCCCTTGGCTTCAGACATCAATGTTAACCACCACAAATGCAAAACACTAATATGTTTAATTTAATGGAACCTCTAATTGTTTTTTCCTTACTGAAATTATGAGTCTGCATGCAAGCAATCACTCAAGCTTAGATCTTATATGAAGACTACTCAAGCCCTTAGGGCTAATCTCCAACTTTTGTCCATTGTTTAGGTAGTTACTGATAATTAGCCTTTACCGTTGAGTTCGACCAAATCTTTTAGGGTCATGGTAGTTACTACTTCTGAATTCGCCAAACAATCTAAGGTTTCAGCACAAGTTCAATGATAGTGGTGCCAAAAAATAATGAATGATGTTTGTAATCCTAATTGTGTAACCAAAAAACAAAAGATGATACAATAGATGGTTCGGCCGAATATGAGAAGATTTTCTGAAGAAGATTCAGAAAGTTGATTAATAACCGTTAGGATTCCAGTGTTAATGACAACAAATGTAACAATGATTGCGACTAAGTGAGCCAGTATTTTAACAGGAGACAATGCATTTTAATTTCTTTCATTAAGAAATTATTCTTGATTTAAAGGGAAAATCATATGCATCATTAGGAAAATCATTGAACAATCAAATGCATTCACTATGCCATTTCCACATTAAAAAAAAAAAACAAAGTACCTGGGCGTAAACATTGCTCTCTACAGCCTTCAGTTCCACTGCATTGGTTTGATGCTGCAGCTGATAGTCTTGTTGCGGATATGGCGATTGCTGCTGCTGTTGAAGTTGCATTGGCTGATGCTGAAGCTGGAGAAGTTGTTGCTGTTGGAAAAGTAAGAGCTGCTGTTGCTGTTGCTGTTGCTGCTGCTGTTGCATGTACATTTGGTGGTGTTGCTGTTGCTGAAGGTAAAAATGTTGTTGCTGTTGAAGATATAAGAGCTGGTATTGTTCAGAATTCATCACCAGCGTACTCTGCTGGTAAGGTTGGGTTGATTCTTCCTGCTTCTCTTGTTGATTTTGTTGTTTTGTTGAGGCATTCAGTTTTTCATCAAGGTTTCTATTGTGTTGCTGGGTATCTGTATGTACTTGCAACTGAACCCGCTCTTCCAGGTTCTCAAGCGACTCTTGCTGAGAGCTTGTTGCCTTTGAGTGATCAGTTAATTGTTGCTTGTGAGAATCGTTCATTTGTTGACCTTGCTGCCTTTGTTGCAGCTGTTGCTGCTGAAGATAATATAAATTCTGATAATACTGCCACATGTGAGGCTCATATCCTTGAAAACTTTGGTAATAACCATATCGTTCATCACTTTGAGAGACATTTTGATATGCGTGAGTCTGAGTTTGAGAAGAAGCGTGTTGGACTTGCTGATCTGGTGCATATAAAACAGCCGGTTGCTGCATGTGCTGTCCAAAAAAAGCAAGGCCTGGATTTGTGTAAGCTTGAGAGGCAGCTAGCTGATACTGAAGTTGGGTATGGTTAGCCTGGGGATCTTGGGAGTTTGGTAAAGACGGATTCAGAGATACATGGCTCTGAGTTAAATACACCTCTTGGTTAGTTCCACCTGACTGGTTTTGCATCTGTGATTGTTGAGGGTTGGAAGGTTGAATATTGCCACAAAGAATGGAATTTGGATCAGCGACACCTTGCACACCATAACAAAGCTGAGCCCACTGTCCTCCACCAGAAGCAATTTGAGGGTATTCAGCATTGACAGGTAACGCTTGAATTGTATCTATCTTTGCTTCAAATTTTAGCTGTTCCTCTGTTTTAATTCTTGGCCTAGTTGCATGATTAGTTGGATGAGAATGACTGCTATACTCTTGAAGTTTTTCTAGACCATCGGAGTCAGATTTCAAAATTTTCTCACCAGACGAATGTATTATTGAAACCTCACCATCATCACCATCACCCTCAAATTTGTTTCCATCTTCCTTAGATGTTTCTTCCTGAGGAGCATTATTATCATGGGAAGTAACTGTGTTGGTTTGCCGAGTTGCATAATCCGTAGAGCCAATTGAAAGGTTATCAAGTGCAGGAGGTTCTAAATTCCCGTTTTGCATGTAGCTTTGAGCAGGCATTTCAGTTTCATGGTATTCTGATGAAGCATCTGGAATTTGAGCTACATTTTGAGACTCTTGAACAATCTCATTTATGACATCTATAATAGACCCTCCAGGAAATGACGGTTCATGAATATGATTTGCTTCAGCTGCTATAGATTCCTGACTTTCCTTATCATTGTCTGCTTTGCCATATGATTTCAGGTCACAGTTCAGAGTCTCCTCAGGAAGAATGATAGGCATATTTACTGGAGAATGATTTTCAAAAGCGTGTTTAATCAAGACTTTTTTGCTGGGATTTTCACTGGAATGATTAGGAGAATTAGTTTGCGTGCCTTTCCGTCCTTCAGTTTTCTTACTTTGGATTTGGAAACCATGAGAAGAATAATCAAATATAGAAGATGGTCTCATAATATGTGGGAATAGTTTTCTGTGGCGTTCCCATGCCAGCCTTGTTTCATCGATAGTTCCATAGAGGTCAACAAACTGCTGAAAATTTATGTATTTAAGAATCATGTCGTTCATACTAATATTTTTAAAGGTCTTTTCCTGATTAACCCCGAGGATGATTAACCTCTAGGATTTTTTTCTTAATGCATGAATGAATATATATATATATATATATATATATATATATATACACACATACGCATATACATGGGTGCATGTTTGCATGTTTCACTAAGAATTTATCTTATTAGACTGAAAAATGACGGAAATAGAACAAAATTTTGACTTATTTAAGCTCTAAAACAAAATCAAAGTGTCATATTAGCAAAATCAATGTGTCATATTAGCTCAAATCAAGATCAAATCGAGTCAGACAATAACAAATTGAGATCTAGTCGAATGACTGAGTACGTCTAGAGTTGATTTCAGATCAACTTAAAACTAGATCATTTACAACCCTAAACTCATACAATAAAAAATAAAAATAAGAGTAATGCTACATATGCCAAAAAAAAAAAGTGGCAGGGGTTCATAAATGCAAAGCAAAAAAATATAATGCAAGATTAGAGGTTTGCTTAGGACAATGGTAGTTAATTGCAAAAATAGTTGTAGAACTTTGATAAGAAATACTTGAGTTCGCAAGTAACCCTAAGGTAATACTTGAGTTCGCAAGCAATCCGATCAAAAATTGGTGAGAAATACAGCAGAAATCTGCTGTATGCCGCAGAAAACAGCAAGGATAATGGAGAAAACAGGAGAAAAACGGAGAAAAAATGAAGGAATTCACTAGTAAATGCAGGAAAAACAGCAACGATACAATATTCTTCAATTCGAGAGAAAAAATAACTCTCCTAATCTCCGGCAACGCCAAGAGCCCAAGCCAAAAACCCTAGATTTCAAAAATCTGATTCAAATTCAAGATGATCATTCATTCCCTCCTAAGCACCTAATTAATCATAAAGGAGAATTACAAAATACCAAAACAGCCATTCCTATTCAAAATTTTCCTCCCATACTAGTTTTCACTCATGCATGGGCCCACCATGGGTCCCCCCCCCCTTTCCTGTTCCGCCTGGAGTAGAAGAGGACCGGTCCAGCCGACCCCTCCTGGGCCGGCAGGGGCCAGCCTAACATTACTCCCCTCTCAAAGACTCACCTTGTCCTCAAGGTGAAATGATGGGAATTGATCTTTCATTCTTTCAAATGGCTCCCAAGTAGCATCGAAATCGAGGAGGCTTCTCCATCTAATCAGCACTTCTTTGTTGCCTTCCTTGTCTGCTGACTCCCGCCAACTCCAGTGGTTCTAACATTACTTCCCAATCCTCCGTTACTGTAGACGGTAACTCTGCACTAACGGCATGCTCACCTAGAGCTCTCCTCAACTGAGACACATGGAAGACTGGGTGTATGGTAGCTAATGGAGGTAACTTCAGTCGGTATGCCACTGCCCAAATCCTGTCCAGAACCTCATAGGGGCTGAAGTATCTCGGTGCCAGCTTCTCGTTCCTCCTTCTAGCAACTATCCTCTGTCTGTAAGGGCGTAGTTTTAGGAACACCTTCTCTCCTACCTCAAACTGCATGTCCCTTCTATGTGAGTCTGCCAGCCTTTTCATGATTTGTTGTGCCCTCAGCAGATGTTTCTTCAACTCCTCCAGCACCTTGTCCCTTTCCTCCAAGTACTGCTCAACTGAAGAAATTGGTGTGCTTCCCTTCCCATAGTGTACTAGGTGCAGGGGATCCCTTCCATACATCACTTTGAAAGGAGTCATTTACGAAGCCGAATGGTAGGACGTATTGTACCAATACTCGGCCCACGGTAACCACTGGCCCACATCCTTGGTGTTTCAGAAGCAAAAAAACCTCAAATAGGTCTCCAAACTTCGGTTCAGCACCTCCGTTTGCCCGTCTATCTGAGGATGGTGGGCGGTGCTCCTTTTGAGAGTCGTGCCCTATCACCTGAACAGCTCCCTCCAAAACTGGCTGAGGAACACCTTATCTCGATCAGACACAATGGACTCAGGGATCCCATGCAGTCTAACAACCTCCCTAATAAATGTTGCTGTTACTGACACCGTAGTGTAGGGGTGTCGTAAGAGAGTGAAGTGAGCATACTTACTAAGTCTGTCAACCACCACCATGATGACCGTGAATATTTCCGATCGTGGAAGGTCGTCTATGAAATCCATGGACACTTCCTCCCAAACTCTGTTTGGAAGTGCCAATGGTTGTAGTAGTCCTCCAGGAGCTATGGTCATATATTTGTTCCTCTGGCACACTTCACACATTGCTACCATCTCCTCAACATCTTTATGCATCCCTTTCCAGTAAAGCTCAGATGTCAATCTTATATATGTCTCCTAAACCCTTGAATGACCTCCCACTGCACTGCCATGAAACTCCTGTAGCAAGTGAGGAATATGTATGGAGGTTCGAGGCATCACAAACCTCCCTTGGTATAACAGTCTCCCCCCTTCCATATAGTACCCCGGGTGGCTACTCTTGTCTATCACCAGATCCTCTCTGATCTTTTTCAACTCTTCATTCAGCATACTTTCTTTTATGGCCCCCCAGTCTACCATCAGTGGTGCTGACATCGCTAACCCCTGGTGTTCCCCCACACATCTGGATAAAGCGTCAGCTGCTTTATTTTCCAACCCAGGCTTGTACTGAATCTCAAAATCATAGCCCAATAGTTTGGATAGCCATCGCTGATGCTCTTCAATCACCATTCTTTGCTCCAAAAGGTACTTCAAACTCCTCTGATTCGTCCCGGACGATGAAATGTCGACCCAAAAGATAGAGGCACCACTTCTGAATCGCCAAGACAATAGTCATCAGCTCCCTTTCGTACACTGACTTCAATCTTGCCCTTGTTGATAGCACTTGACTGCAATGTTTAAAATTACGTATTCGGGTATTGAGGCGTTTTTCATTCGTGAGACGAGGCGTAAGCCTCAAGGCATTTTGAAGCGTAAGCCTCAAAATCAAAAGATTGCGTAAACATAAAATGATCAAATTTTTATATACTAATGAGTGAATACTATAAAATATAAAAAAGCATAAGATATGAAGTGAAATCAAAATATCTCAATAATAAGATAACATGAAATATAGTTCAACTCAAAATTCTATCTTTCCCAAATCCCAGTATTCTTGTCATTAACATATAATTCCAATTTTCAAAAATAAATAGCAATGAAATATCACATAAGAACTCATAAGTCATCAGCACTGTCATCACTAAGGGGTTCTTCATTTGAATCATCATTATGGTTAAATGCTCTCCCCCCTTCCTCCTCTCCTATAGAGTCCAATGTCGAACATTTTCTTCAAGATTTATGTAAGTTTTAATATATATAGCGTGAGGCGTAAGCCTCATGCCAGTGAGGCGAAAAGGGGCCTCAAGGCGGATCTCAACCAAGTTGAGACGCAAGCCTCATAAAAAAAACTCGAGGCGTAAGCATTGAGGCATTTTTTACTGGAATTCGCAAAGGCGAGCCTCATATTGCGCAATTTTAAATCATGCTTGACTGAAGAATGCTATCGGCCTGTGGTTATGCATTAATACTGCCCCCAACCCATATCCTGATGCGTCGGTCTCTACTACAAATTCCTGGCCTGGAAGAGCTAGAACAAGAACTGTGGTCATGGCTTTCTTCAACCTCTCGAAGGCCTGGTTGCTGCCTCTCCCCAAGAGAAATTGTCCTTCTTTAGCTGCTCAGTCGAAGGTCACGCGATGGTACCGTACCCCTTCACAAACCTCATGTAGTAGCCAGTCAATCCTAGGAAACCCCTCAACTCCCTTATGTTTCGAGGCGTCAGTCATTTCTGCATTGCTTCAATTTTGGTTTGGTCTGCCGACACTCCTTAGGATACCACATGTCTCAAGTACTCCACGCTAGACTGAGCAAAGCTGCATTTCTTCAGATTGGCTCTCAACTGATTCTCCTGAAGTACTCCCAAGACCACCCTCAGGTGCTCCAAATGCTCCTCCACAGTCTTGTTATATACCAAAATGTCATCAAATAATACCAGGACAAACTTCCTGAGGTACTGCTTGGATACTCTGTTCATCAAAGACTAAAAAGTAGCAGGAGCGTTCGTCAATCTAAAGGGCATTATCAGAAACTCATAATGTCCTTCATGTGCCCTGAAAGCTGTCTTTGTAACATCTGCCTCCCTCATTCGGATCTGTTGATACTTGGATTTTAAGTCAAGCTTAGAAAACATCACTATCCTATAAAGCTCGTCCAAGAGTTCATCAATCACTGGAATTGGAAACTTATCGGGCACTGTCCCGTTGTTCAGAGCTCTGTAGTCCACACATAAATGTCAACTCCCATCCTTCTTTTTGACCAGGAGAACTGGGCTGGAGAAAGGACTCACACTTAATCCGATGATCCCAGCTTCCAACATCTCCAGGATCAACTTTTCAATCTCATCTTTCTAAATCTGAGGGTAGCGATATGGACGAATGCTGATGGGCGTCTCCCCCTCCTTCAAAGTGATGACATGCTCCAACTCTCTGTGTGGTGGCAAGCCCCGAGGAGGTTGAAAAACCTCACTGAACTATTGTATGAGTGGCTGCACTGAAGAGGGAATGTTCCCCTCTTCCTCCAGTCTGACCCCTTCCAAGCGATGCATCTCCACCAAGTATCGTCCTCCCACTTCTTCTATGGTTCTAATCATAGACTTGAGAGATACCCCAATCTTAGTTAGCCCTGCATCACCCTGAATCACCCTCTTCTTCCCCTTAACCACCAGCTCCATCTTCAATGTTCCCCAATTCCTTGGTATCTCCTAAGGACTGTAGCCATTTCATCCCCAAGATGACGTCGATGCTTCCCAATTCCAAAGGAAGAAAGTTCTCCCTCACCTGGATCTCCTGAATCATCAACACTGCTCCCTTACATACACCCCTGTACATCTCCACCTTCCCCGTTCCCATCATCCCTCCATATCCTCCCGTGTCCACTAATTCCATTCCAACCAGATCAACTATCTAGGTGGAAAGGAAATTGGGCTTGCCCTACTATCTA